CCAGGATGCCATTTTCTGAACATGGGATGTATAAAGAAGGAGGGATGACATGTCAAGGAGTAGATGTGTAAAAGGTGTACCAGAAAGTTGTACACTCCGGAGTACTCTGCCAATGAGGAAACAGAGGAGGGACTTTGCAGGCTGGGATTAGAGCTAAAAAGTGGACTCCTGCTTTGATACAACGTGGCCTAGTGCATAGGACAACCTTGGTTGCAACTGCGTAATAAACAGGGCTTTTAACTTCATCCCTCCTGAGTCTGAATGAGTTATTTCTCACATATATATATACTGTATCTGCTATGTGAAAGATCCCAGCCTTGGAGCTGGGGCATAGATCCCATATGGGCCCTGCTCTCAGAAGGCTTCTGATCTAAGGGGCTCTGGGGGCAAGTACACAAAAAAACTATGATTCAAGAGAGAAAGGGATTGGTTCAAAGGACCTTGAAGGCCAGCCAAAGTGCCAGGAGACACAAACCAAAGAAAAGAGGTTCCAGGCTTGGCACAGACCTTGAGTCATTCCCACACCCACCCCCAGCTCACCGAGTCAGAGCATCTAGCCCAGGAGTCAGCAAACTACAGCCGCCTGTTGTTCTGAGGCCAGTAAGCTAAGAATGGTTTTTGACATTTGTAAATTCGCATTACATTGACACACAGCCATACTCAGGCATTGTCATATTGTCTCTGGCGATGATAGAGACCATGTGGGGCATTTTCATCCCTTTACAAATCACAGTGATGCAATTCAACAGTGCCACACATAGGGGCAGCTAGGTGATGCAGCGGATAGAGCACTGGCCCTGAACTCAGGAGGACCTGAATTCAAATCCAGCCTCAGACCAAACCCTTGACACTTACTAGCTGTGTGACCCTGGGCAAGACACTTAACCCCAACTGCCTAAAAGAAAAAAACAAACAAACAAACAATGCCACACATAGCGCTGTACTGGGACATTTTCTTTTCTTTATTACCAGTGCATCCCCATCATGTCAAGACAAGAAAAGGTTTTATTATGATTTTGTGAGCTTAGGACTGAGACGGACATTCTTCTGAATCAGCTGCCATTATCAAACTGATCGGCTTTGGAAATGAGCTTTTGCTGAAAACTTGATCATGTTTCTTAATGAATTCAACCTCAACTTCTATGTAAAACATCATATAGCAGAGCCAGTCGGAATCACAAGTAACTGTCAAGCTGCTTCCTGTGCTGTTAGAAGTTCAAACAAGAGGGGAGATTCACCGTTCCCACACAAATTCACAGCAGATATATTTTCCAAGCTCAAACTACAGTTCCAGCAGCATTTTTCAGACCTGATAGAAGTGCAAAAGAAATTTCTGTCTTTCAAAATTCTTTTCACTGTTCAGTTGAGGAGCTTCCACCTAACCTTTGATTGGGAATCATTAATTTGCAATGGAACGGTGTGCTAAAAGGCAAAGAGCAAAAGAAGAATCTCAGAAAATTCAATGCTTTGGAGGATCTGGCTCTACTGTTGCTGACAACTACCCGGATAGTCCCAAGCATGGGAATACTGCCCATGCCCTTCTTTGTGCCTTTCCTTAGCTTTCAATAACCTGGTTAGAGACGTGGAGCTTCCCTTCCAGGGCAGTGAGGACTGAATGTACCTCTGACTACAGGTCAGGTTAGATTCTTACCCCCAGAGGGCACCTGAGAGCCTCTCTACAATGTCCACCCCATTTTACTTACTTTTCCATCTCTTCAAAGTTTTGTGCCCATGATCTAAAGCATATGTGGCAAAGGCCGGAGAAGGGAAGAGGCAGCCAGGCACCAAAGATCTATCATGCTATAGCAGTGCATGTGTTTAATGTTCGTTTGTTGCTTTGAGGCAAGGCCCAATGACTGCTGTGCCCTCTGCACACAATCAAGCAAAAGAAATCAACGCCTGGTCCAGTCCCAAAATGTCCACCCCTAGTGTCCCACCTCTCCCTCCTGAGAGGCAGGAAGTGCGCTTCCCCAGGCCTCTGAAAAGCACATCTTTGCAGTCCCCCAGCCAAACTGAAGGCACAGAGAATGTAAGCCTCCACCATGTCTGCCCTCTGTTGACTATAAGAAAGCATCTGACACTCTGAAACAATCATCATCGAGATGCTTTGAGGCTGGTTAAAAAATTTGAAAAGTCAATCATTGCCCAAGAATCGCCAGGAAAAAAGAAAAAATCATTTGAGGGGGGCAAAGCTAGAGCAGCATCCTCTACCACATAGTACAACAAGCTCCAAAGGACGTTCAAAAATCACATCATTTTCCAAAAGAAGAGGAAATGGATGGAAGAATTCTTTACAGCCAAACATAGAAATATATTCCTTAGCCAAACAAGAGCTACAGGAAATTCCAGAAGGTAAAGCAGATCATTTCAACTGCATGAAGTGGGAAAGTTTTTTAGCAGCTCAGATAAGGGGAATTTAATTGGGGGAAGACATCTTTGATGCAAAGATCCCTCTGATAAGGTTGTGACATCTAAGATATATAGGGAATTAACATGACACAGAGACACAGAGCCCTTCTCCAAAAGATGGGAAGAGAAAAAATGCAAACTAGCCCCACAACATGCAGACAAATGACTAAGGAAAAATTCAAGACCAAGTCACCTGAAGTCTCATCTTACACCCTACAAACTGGACAACATGACAAAGGGGGAAACGGTCCCTGCTGGAGGAGCTGCAGGAAGATAACACATACACTGGTGCTACTGATCGGATTCAACCACTTTGGAGTTAGGAGGCACCTTCCAAGTATGTGATTAGGCTCGGATTCTTCAAATCTAGCCAGTAGTGCAGACTCACTAGGAATCTCGCTCAACCCAGTTGGTGTTTCAATCAACCCTGTCTCTAAAAAAACAACAGCAACACCACCAACAAAGTATGTAATTCCACACAGCAAATGCTACCTGAAAGGTTCTCCTCCAACAAGGTGTCAGCATCGTCCAAAATGTAGCAATGGGCTAGGCCTACAGCCAGGGGAGATCTCTTCTCATCACAGAGAGGACAAAAAGGTCTGAGTCCAAATGAAAGATGGGGAGCTCCTCCAAATACTCCTCTTCGGGATGACAACACGAAGCCTCCAAACACAACAATGCTTCCTAAATGACATTATAATCACTCCAAATTTGACCTAACTCTCCATGCAGAATAAGAAGCCTCCAGTCAAGAAAGGTTAAGTGAATTGTCTTTGGTCAGTTAGCAGTGGGTAGAGTCCCGGGCCTGGAGTAGGGAAAACTCATCTTCCCGAACTCAAATCTGGCTTCAGACAATGACTAGCTGTGTGACCCCAGGCAAGTCATTTAACCCTATTTGCCTCAGTTTCTTCATCTGTCAAATGAGATGGAGAAGGAAATGGCAAACTTCTCCAGGATCTTTGCCAAGAAAACCCCAAAGGGGGTCCCAGAAAATTGGACATGACTGAAAAAGAACTAAACAAGTGAGAAGCAGGATTTAAATCTAGGGCCTCTCTGACACCACAAGTTCAGGTCACAGTAGCTAAAGATCTAAAAAGACCTTGCAGCCTAAAATGTTAACCTAAAATCATCACAAGAAAATGTTTCAGGAAGAACTGTCAAATCTTACTCTTGGGTTCAAAAAAACAACTTTATAAGTATAAGAAAAATAGCCATGAAGTAGGGAAAAGATTCAAAGTCCAAGGATTTGGATTCAAATTCAGGCTCTGACATTTACTAGCTTTAAGAGTTTGGCTAAGTCATCTTCCCTCTCTAGGCTTCATGAATTATAAACTGAGGGAGGGTTTAGACCAAATGACCTCTTAGGTCCCTTCTGCCTCCACATTTCTGCTCTTCTGATCACGAAGCGGGGGAGGCACAGCTAGACACTTTTTTGTCTGGGGGCTTCAGTGACCAGCAACGAGGGTGGGCTCCCCATCACTAGATGCCTTTAAGTAGACAACAAGTGGATGACCACTTGTTGGCGATGTTATAATCAACATGGCTTGGCCTACGTGGCTACCAAGGTTCCAAGATCTCCAGAAGCCAAGCCTGGGTAGCAGCAGAGACATACAGAAAGGGTGGCAGACCTCTGAGCCGCACCCCCCACCTTCCTTGGGTGTGGGCCCAGAAAAGTTAAGTCAGGCTAGTAGGAAAGGAAGAAAACCTCCAAGAAGGCTGGGGAAGGGCACTGGCCTGGGGTCTCTTTTGTCCACAATCTTTAACAGTATTTCTTTTTAAATGTATATTTTATTGCTATCTTTTTTTTTTCTCCCAGTCTCCCTCCCCGTCCCGGAGAACCATCCATAACAAATGTTTTTAAGAAAAAGAAGAAAAATTCCACAAATCCAATCAACATATTGAAAAATGTCTGATACTATATGCAGTGTTGCACACTTGGGGACCTTAGCCTCTACAAAAGAGTGGGGGGGGAGGAGCCAGGGAATGGGGGGGGGGGTCAATATGGCAGAGACACTCCCAACAAGCTTTGGCCAAGGTGTCTCTTCCATGCCTTTAAAAAGCCCTTTCCTTTCCTTCATCTCTGATCCCACCAATAATCCGGTAAAATAGACCAACAGGGGCAGGATTCCTGGTGACCATTTTACAGCTGAAGAAACTTAGGGAGGTCACAAGGTTAGCAAGTGGCAAGGCCAGGAGCAGAACCTTAGAGCCACAAGAAAAACTAAGTCCAGTGTTCATTCAAGGACAACAGTCTAACAGCTTACACTGACCTAGAACCCAGAATGGCCATCCCAAGAGGGGTTAAACAGATGTGCAGACTGTCAGTCAAAAATCATTTCTTAAGTGCCTACTGTGTGCCAGGCACTCTGTTAAGTGCTGCGAACACACTCACAAGCAAAAACCTTGCAGGTGAGGACTGAGTCCCAGATCAGATAGGGCCCCAGCTCACTGCCAAGCAGCAGACTGGGAGCTCCCTGAGGAGAGGGCCCAAGTTTTAGCCTCATTACCCACCCAGAACCATGCCCTGCACACAGGAAACACTCCAAGCAATTCAACAATACATCGTTAAAAAAGGTTTTTCAAGTACCCACACAGCAATGCGTAGAGGGCTGGGCCACACCTGCCCAGTTCAGGACGCAGCTTTCTTAAAGGGTTTTCTCCCAGAATCTCTGTGAAGAGCTTCAGATTGCTAAGGTCCAAATAAGTCCTCTGTGAGGAAAGAAAAGCATTGCAAAGGTAAAGTGAGTGGGGCACCACACACCTGGAACTGAGTGGGGAGGAGAGGAACATGAGGGGGCCTGCTGCTAACTGCCAACTGACTAGCGGCAGGAATGCAGATAAAGTTCCTGGACTGGAGGCTGCAACCTAGAAACCAGAAATATTGGGGCTCCAGGGATCCAGAGAGCAAACACAACCCAAGGCTTGCCCACCAATAACTTCCACTCTGCTGGACCAGCTCTGAGGTCATGGCAGACAGACAATGCAAAGGAGGGTCTCCCTAGGGATGGCCCTGAAGGAAGAGTTGGGGGACTGGAGTTAGAGTAGCCACTCCTGATCCTGAGCCAGGAAGGGAGCCTAGACGTTCATGGACTCCAATGTGCTCATTCTGCGTGTACACATGGGAGATAATCTCACACTGTTGAGCTGTACAACTCTCTGTGGTCTACTTGGACAGCAGCGGCAGTGAGTAGGAAAGGGCAGCTAGGGGGCGCTGCAGTGGATAGAGCAGTGGGCCTGCGGTCAGGATGACCTGAGTTCAAATCCAGCCTCAGATACTAGCTGTGTGACCCTGGGCAAGTCACTTTACCCCATTTGCCTCAGTTTCCTTATCTGTCAAATGAGCAGGAGGAGGAAATGGCAAACCACTCCTTATCAGTTGCTTATCAGCAGAGTCTGGACTGGACCCCAAGTCTTTCCAGCTCCCAGGCAAAAGTGAGAGTAGAGGGGCAGCTAGGTGGCGCAGTGGATAGAGCACTGGCCCTGGAGTCAGGAGGACCTGAGTTCAAATCCGGCCTCAGATACTTGATACTTGCTAGCTGTGTGACCCTGGGCAAGTCACTTAACCCCCACTGCCTCACCAAAAAGCAAAAAAAAAAAAAAAAAAAAAAAGAAGTGAGAGTAGACCTAAGTACCACTTAAGGGTGAGGCTGAAATGGATGAGATTAGGCCTCTCTGTGCCCATTCCTGGGGATATAGGGTCAGAATTTGGGCCCTTTTCTTTCCTTTTGTCACGTGAAAGAGGTCAGAGAAAACACACTCTTGGGCTGTGGAGACAGGGACAGAGACAAAGACAAGAATGGGGGCTGGGAGGGGCCAGGCCAAGACATTGGAACTCCACAATCAGGGAAATGCCCACTGAGGAGAAAGTTGCAAAGCAAATAGCCCCCTTACCCTTGCCCCACAAAGAGCTTCCATGCGTGACCCTCAGCAAGGCCCAGGCCATGGGCTTCCCAGCCTCCTTTGCAACTAAGCTCCAGAGACCCCATCCCCCATCCTCTAACAAGCAGAGGACCAAAACTGTTAGAAATGATTGCAAGAAGATGGCATTGCACCAGAAAGGCCAGCAACCAAAAGAAGCCATGCAGGCTGAGAGACAAAGCCTGGGAAGCTGCCACCCAGCAGCCCCTGCCAATAGTCCAGGCTCTGGAAGGGACAAATGTACCAGCATCAAAAATGATCCTGAGAAAGGTGGAAGGAACAGGGCCGCCTTCAAGCTGCAAAGGCCATCTACCAAGATGGAACTCGATTTTGACACCGAAACTAGAAGTTGCCAAAGGACTTACAAGCAGAACAGATGGAAAATGTGAACGCAAACCAGAGAACAGGCTCCCGAGGCAAGCTGAGAACTCTGTCTGAAGAAGAAGACACATCAAAGGACCTGGGTTCCAATCCTGGCTCTGTCACTATTCAAACGACCTTGAAACAGTCTCATCTTTACCATAGAGGGGAACCAGATGGCCTCTGGGGGTCTCTGGGAGTCCTTCCAACAGTGAATCTACAGGATTTATAAGGTGCCTACTAGTTCTAAATCTACTCACAAAGAGCAGTAGCTACTATTGAAGAAGAGCCAGACCGCCCAAAGAAAGGTAAGGAGAATCCCTTTATCCATTGGTACAACTATTAAAACGTGACCCAACCAGGACTGACAAATAGTATTAACAATGACAGCCCAGAGAAGTGATCAAAAGCTAGAACCAGACAATTCACAAAAGTAAGAGAAATGCAAATCAAAATGACCCAGAGGTTTGACCTCCCTTCTCATCCAGCAAATGAGCCGGGAAGAGTTCATGTTGGAGGTGCTGCTGGAAGACAGACTGACGTCCGTGAATCCATACGACCATTTTAAAATCAGGGCTAGCAGCCTTTTACACCATCGGTCATTCTCTCCTCTTTGATATGCTCTTCTCTCTAGGTTTTCAGGATGCCTCCTTCCCCTGGTTCTCTTCCTTCACCTCAGACAGACTCCAGCCCTAACCCTAAATGCGCTCCTGGGCTGGCTTTGGGGGGTGCAGGACCTGGGCCTGGCACAACCAAGGTATCCCTATGGGGCTCTGGGGAAGGGAGGAGAGCTGTATTAGGAGAAGCCCCTTCCCCAACATCTCGTGCAGATTTCTCCAGCTGGGGGCCAGCAGGAGGGCGGGGAGGAGGCTGAGCCGAAGAACACTGCCAGACGGGGGTGCGGGGCCAATGATGAGAAGACTGAAGTCCTGATACTGGATGGCGGAGGGGAGTGGCTGCTGCTGCTAGTCCCTACGAAAGCCTGGTTAGGCTCAGGAAGAGGGGCAGGTTTGCAGGTGAAGAGCAATTCAGCCAGGACATCAAGACCTAGAAGCCATCTGAGAAGGCATATCCAGTTGGCCCAGAGCAGAGGAGAGAGAGAGGGAGACATGGATGTGTGTACAGACTGGCTCAGCATTTCTCAAGAGGAGCCCAGCTGAACCAAAGGAGTAGATGAAATCCCTAGGGAAAAATGGAGAGAGGATACTGGGACCAAGCAGGTCAAGCCATCCTTGAGGGCCTGGAGGAAGAAGATGAAGTGGCAAAGACAACTGAGAAGAAGCAGTCAGAGAGCTGAGAGGAAATTCAAGAGAAAGCACAGCCCTGAAAACCTAGGAGAAAAGATGCAGAAGGATGGACGGGCATCCCTGTCAGATCTGCAGGGGTCAGGAGTAGGCGAGAAAAGACTGTTGGATTTGGCAGCTACAAGGGAGCAGGTTCCAGTGACTGGTTTTATGGAAGCCAAACTTGGGAAGGAAGGAAGGATGAGGAAGCAGGGGCAGCCCCAGCAAATCGCTGCTGCCCTTTGGAGACATTTAGCAACAAAGAGCCCACGAGAAAGCACAAGAGCTTAAGGAGATGGCAGGGCTGAGGAGGACGTAGAATGGGACAGGAAATTAGAACTGAGCAATGAACATCTTCCTTGGTCAGTGGGCAGGAACCAGGAAAGTGAGAGACTGGAGGTCAGAGAAAGAAGGATGGGATCATTAGGGGAGATTCGGGAGGGGCTGGGCAAGAGGGCTAAGCAGGGAGACAGGGAAGAAGAGTGCTCTGGAGGGAAGGAAGAAGAGAGCTAAGATCCTGGGAAGGGCAGGGTGAGAAACTGATACCAAATATATTCAGAAGTGAACTCTTCCAAACTACCAGAGCACACATCCCTTTATGACACAGACTGTTCCTAAAAATGGAAAATGATCATACGGGGCCCCATGTTTTTAAAAAACAAATATAGCTTTGATTCCCCAAACCAACTATAGATAGAGCTGAAAAAGAAAAGTGCAGGCTAATATCCTTAATGAAGATAAATACCCTTAATATCCTTAGGTCATGATAGCATTCATTCATGACCCAATGGCCCATTCAGCAATAATGAGCGAACCTAGGGACATGATTGACTGTGCTTCTAGAAAATCTGGGAGACAACAATGAATGAATTAAAGACGTTGAATGAGTTTAGGAAGACAGCAGCAGACTCAAAGATAAACTGTAGAGAATTTTTGCACATCTTATATTCCACTATTCTCTCCTGCCTGTGTCTGTTCAAGTTCATATTCCTTTTGATTTTCAACAGCTGAGATGTGGCCCAGTGGATAGAGTACTGGGTTTAGATCAGAAAGATTCACCTTCCTGAGGTGAAATCCAGACTCAGATACTTCCCAGCTGTGTGACCTTGGGGAAGTCACTCCACCCTGTTTGCCTCAGTTTCCTTATCTGTCAAATGAGCTGGAGAAGAAAATGGCAAACCACTCCAGTGTCTCTGCCAAGGAAACCCCAAATGGGGGCAAGAAGAGTCAGACACGACTGAAATGACTGAACATATAGCTTTATGGAGAAGTGGAGAAGGGTGATTTCCATACTTCACTAATTTGGTTTTTTTGAGATTCATGCTACAATCAAATTATCTGAAAAAACTCTTCATTTCAATATCCAAACCAAAGCTATAAATAGGTTACAAAAAAACATGAGATAAACGCATAGATTCCAGCTCCACAGAAGTGGACTGCCAAGCAAACTCAGTATGTAACAGGGGCCATTGCTGACCATTGGCACTTGGTGTCTGAGATGGCACAAATGGGCTTTGTTAGACAGAAGGGGGTAGGCCATAGCCTGGCCTAGCATTTCAAGAGGGGATGCACTCACCAGCAGAAAAAGTCCTGAGGGAAGTAACCTCTACAGGCTGAACGCATCAGCTGCAAACTGCTTTCCACTCTAAATACATAGACCAAAAAGCAGAGACATCACCTTGCTGACAAAGGTCTGTAGAGTCAAAGCTGTGGCCTTCCCAGCGGCAATGTAGGCTGGGAGAGCTGGACTCTAAGGAAAGCCGAGTGTCACAGAATCGACGCTTTTAAATTGTGGAATTGTGGGGCTGGAGACTTCTGAGAGTCCCTGGGACAGCAAGGAAGTCAAATCAGTCAGTGCTTCAAGAAATCAGTCCAGGCTAAGGGCAAATACTAAAGCTGAAGCTTAACTCTTTTGGCCACATAATGAGAAGATGGGACTCATTGGGAAAGACCTGATGGTGGGCAAGACTGAAGGCAAAAGGAGAAGGGGACGGCGGAGATGGACAGAGAGTGTCACGGAAGCAATGAGCACGAGCATGGACAGACCTCAGGAGCCAGTGGAGGACCAAAGGCCCTGGCATCGTGGGGTCCAGGGGGTCACCAACAGTCAGACGTAACTGAACAACAGCATATAAAGCGGACCAAGTCCACAGTCCCACCCTTGCCCCATGGCCCAGCCTCTGGGCATCCCTGGTCTCTCACACAGCGTTCCTGTATACTAGCCTAGCTTGTATACGCTCCCCTGCAATTAGTAATGCCCAGGTCTAACTGGACTCCTACTCTACTCAACAACTTTCATAGCTCCCCAGTGCCCAAAGGATCAAATCCAGAAATGCCTCAGCTTGGTGTTCAAAGTCCTTCACAGTAGACTTCCAATTTCTTTCCAGACTGACTGCATGTGACTTCCTTTCACAAACTGTATGTTCCACCTAAACTGGCCTGCTCCCTGTTTCCCACATACAACGCACTCCCCCAAAGTCTGTCTGGCCCTTCTGTCCTCAGTGACACCTCTCCAGTCCTAAAAGGCCTTTGTGGGCACTGATCTGAGAGCACAGGGAGTGGATGCTCCTGGAGGCCGGAGATGCTTTTTCTTTGGTTGACCTTTGTCCTCTGAGCTACCAGCCAATCATAGGAGTTTAAGAAATGCTTGTTGAACTGAACTGAACATATCTGATCGGGCCTGGCACCTGAACCAGCGGGATAGGCCCACTTGCTTTCCCCGCAGGACAAAAGGTGGCCCCTTTTCACTCTGTACAGAGCATGGGCCCCAGCCCCCATTTACCAGTCAGTGACTTAGAGCAAAGTGCCAGATGGACCAAAGCTGGCAGGGCTCTCGAAGCTGCTGAATGCTCCAATCTGGGATCCAAGCTAGACTGCATCTACTGGAACACTGCAGTCGGCTGCTGTCCTAAAACCCAATGCAAGAGAGGCCACGTCTGGGGGGAGGGGAAGTGCTGGCCCCGGGGTCAAGAAAGCCTGCCTAGGCCACTTTGGTGAGGATTCCAGAACAGGCATTCAAGCTCTCAGATGTGAGCAGGACCTGCAGGGGTACCTGGGAGACCCCCAGAGCTCCCCTGAGGACTGCTGGCTCCAGGCACCTTAATGGGAGGAGGGAGGGCACAGCCTCTCTGCCCTCAGGCCTCACGCCCCCTCGGACCTGCTCACACCCCGCAGGCAGAGGGGCGTTCAGTCCTAGGTACCTGTTCAGGGTGGGGTGACAGGGGCCTTGTGTGCACGCCACGTGGGGTCTTAGTCTTGAGAAGACTAAGGGGCCATGTGACAAGTCATTCATCTTCCAATACAGGCCCATGAAGCGCTTGGTTTTCCAAATCCCCAGGCTTCCCTAGCCCAAGCGCTTGCAAGCTAACACATCTGCCTGAACGCCAACAGACCCTCCTGCCCCTGGACAGATGGGGGCACAAGCCTGTTTCTAAAGTGGCTCTACTTCGGAGGGGGGAGATGATGAGATGTCAGGGGCTTAGAAAGATTCATAATCCCCAGGAAAGCCCTGGATGGAAAAAAGCCCCAAGCTAGGCTTCTACCTGCTAGAGACCGAAAACGTCTGGAGATCCCCAACAGAAATCCCTTCACCACTCAGAGCCCGGGATCCTGCTGCGTTTCTGTTGTTGGTCCCCCACCCCCCACCCCCCACTTGCCCGTTCCTTCCAGCCTAAGCCAGTAAGATGAGACAGTCCCAGCATGCTTCCCTCTGAAAACAGCTTCTGCGGGGGGGGGGGGGGGGGGACGACATCACAAGCTGGCCTTAGCCTAGCTCACTGAACAGAGCCCCAGCCTCTCATCAGAACTGGACCCGAGGAGTGGTCCAGTGTGGAGGAGGCCCAGAGGAGGCCACTGCAGATACCCAAACTGGCACCTTCCAGTATAGAGCAGGTCCAGTGCCCTGACAGGATCAGTGGCCATTTTGGAGGGCGAGCTCTAAACTGAGCTCCCAGCTCCCCAGACTCCCAAGACGAGGAGCAGGGAATAAGCATTTCCCAATATTACCCACCATGCAGCAAGCGCTTCTTACAAATATGATCTTCACAATAAGTCTGGGAGACCGGTGGTGTTATTATCTCCATTTTACAGTTATGGAAACTGAGGCAGACAGAGGTGACTCTAGAGGAAGTGTCTGAAGATAGATGTGAACTAAGGTGACCCAGTTCTCTGTGCACCACAGCACCTGTGCTCTCTCCAACTCGAGCTATAGTCTAACCCTGGAAGGTCCTGGACTCTGTAATTTGATGGCGAAGAAGCTCCAAGCACACTTTGGGCAAAGACTGGCAATAAGGCCCAGTCAGCCAGCAGCTCCTGCCAGCCATGCCAGGCCAGTGAAGTGGTGCCAACCGTATTCATGTCCAAAATGCCAGGTAGCCCCTTGGCAAGACAGAGCTGGTCCACTGCTGAGCCTGGGGAAGGGAGGGGGCACCAAACCTGAGCACCAGCCCGACTCCATCACTGGGCCACCTGGGCCTAGCACTGCCTCAGTTGGCCTTCTCAGAAGGAACTCACCAGCGCGTACACCAGCCGGCCAAACTACTCACCGCTCCCCCAACCAGGGAAGGATGCTGCGAACTGGCGAGAGGGGGTGGGGGTGGGGCAGTGTAACACGTCCCAGGATCGCCCCCCAAGGGCTCCACCCCGCCCAGCCCCCTCAGCTCTCAAGCCCAGCCTCTCCGCATCAGAAGCAGCCGGGGCACCTCGCTGGCCCGGCTGCAGGAGGAGGGGCCTCTCCCCCAGCCACCACCCCCTCCCGCGCGCCGTTTTTAAAGAGCCAGAGGCCCACTCCTCACCTCGCTGGGGAGGAGCCCGTGCCTCCTGGCTGAGCAGCAGCCCAGACCCGGGAGTACCCGCCTCGCCCCACCCCGCAGCTGGCCTTTGTGGGGCGGGGCCACCAACCAGCTTCCCAACCCCCTCTCCTCCCCCCCCCCCGCTGTCCCCTCCTGGACCACTCCCCCCGCCCCCAGCCCCCGGGAGGAGAGAGAGAAGACAGAGAAGAGGGAAAGCGGAAGAGAAGGGGAAAGAGAAGAGGAGGAAGATGGAGGGAGGGGAAAGAAAAGGGTTAGAAGAGGAAAGAAAGAAGGGGAAGAGGATAGAGGAAGGGGAAGAAGGGAGAGAGCGGAAGGGAAAGAGGAAAGAGAAAAGAAAGGGAGAAGAAAAAGGGAAGAGAAAGGAGAAGAGAAGGTGAATGAGGAGGAAGGAAGGAAGGAGAAAGAGGAAGGGGAAGAGGAGAAAGAGGAAAAAGGAGAGGACAGAGGAAGGAGAAATGGAAGAAAGAGAAGATAGAAGGGGAAAATAACAGGAGGGAGGAGGAAGAGGGAAGGAGGGGAAGAGGACAAGAGCAAGGCAGAGAGGGGAGGGGGGAGTGAGAGGAGGGAAGGAGGAAGAGAGGGAGAGAGAAAGAGAAAGAAGGAAACACTGGAGGGGAGAGGGGGGAGGGAGAGGAGAGAGAGAGAGAGAGAGAGAGAGAGAGAGAGAGAGAGAGAGAGAGAGAGAGAGAGAGAGAGAAGGAAAGACAGGGGGAGAGAGACAGAGAAAGAGAGAAGGGAAGGGGAAAGGGAAGATGGGGGAGGGGCGGCCCCGCCCCGCCCCGCCCGAGTGACCACTCACTCTCTTGCTCCCCGGCCCGGCCGCTGGGGCCGCTGCGGCTGCCGCTGTCCGCCGCTCGGGACTCCCGCTGCGGGGCCGCGCCGCTCTGCTCATGCCGTCCGCGGGGAGGATCATGCTCGGGGGGCAGGCCCCAAACTGCGGCCCCGACGCCCCTCCAGCAGTGGCGGCAGGAACGGGGTGCGAGGCCCGCGGCAGCGCGCGGCACCCCTAGCGCCCAGGACCCCGGAGGCGTGCACGAGGCATCCGGCCGAGGGGCGGGGGGGGGAAGAGGAGGGGGACCCCGTGCCTAGCGGCCCCCTCCCCTAGCGGCGGCTCCCCAGCGGGCCTCCAAGGGCGCCCGGGGTTCCCAGGAGGAGGCGGAGGCGAGCCCCCCTCGGCCTCTGCCCATCCGCCCTCCGGCTGCTTGGCCCCGGGCCCCCAGCCCCAGAAGGCGCCCTCGGGGCTCGCTCGCCCAGACGGAGCCGGGACCAGGGGCTTCAGCAGCCGTAGCAGCGACCACTGCTCCCGGGGCTGGATGGCGTGGAGGCGGCGGCGGCCGCGATCTGCCCTGCCCGGCCCGGTCCTGCCCTGCTGGGCTCCGCCGGCCCGCCGGCCCCGGCCTAGGCAGACCAGGGGAGGTACGGGGCTCGGCGGGGCGGGGCGCAGAGGGGCTCGGAGGGGAGGGGACCGGCAGGCGGCCCTCGAGGACCCTCCCCCCTCTCTCTGGCCCCGCGTCGGGCTCGGTGTCTTTCTCGGATCTCTGGTCTCTCCTCTCCCTGGGTCTCGGACTCGTCTCTCTCCAACTGAGCGATGAGGTGTGAACGGGCTGACAGCCCCACCCTGGGCTGCCCCTGGGTGGAGCTCCTTAAAAGGGACCCGCAGCGGCAGCAGCCGCGGCGGCCGAGAGAGGGGGAGGGGGACCGAGAGAGGGTGGGGCGAGCGCGCGGAGCCTCGGAGGGGTGGGGCGGGGCCGGAGAGGTGGTGAAGAGGGTGGGGCCCGGCAGGAGGGGATAGGAAGGCCCGCCTGGGAGGGAGAGGGTGGGGCGGGAAAGGAGGCGGGACCGGCCCGAACCTAGGGCACTCGGGCCCCTCCAGTAGGGGCGGGGGAGGGCGAACACCAAGGCAGGGCAGTCCCTCCCATCCCCAGCCAGGTACGGCCCTCCCGGCTTCCCGGCCGTGGAGAAGGAGGAGGAGGAGGAGGAGGAGGAGAAGGAGGAGGTGGTGGTGCAGGGGAGGAGGTGTCATCGTCTGCCACCGCCCCAATTGGGCGGAGGCCAGAGCCGGGGATGCCTGGGTGGGGGCGGGGCGGGGCTCGGTGGGAGGGGGGCGTCGAGCGAGCGACCTGACAGCTGGGTGCGAGGGTTCGGCGCGCCTAGCTCGCCATGGCAACCGCGAGCGAGCCCAGCCAGGACGGGGAGAGAAGGAGGGAGAGAGAGGGAAGGGAACGAGACAGAGAAGAAGGGAGCGAGAGAGACAGAGAGGATGGGGGGAGAGAGAGGAGGAGAGGGAGCGAGATCACGACTTGTTCCCCGAGTGGAGACCACGACAGAGACGGAGGAGAGAAGGAGCCGACAAAGCCTTGGGAAAGCCACCCTGGCCTCGGGGGGTGGGTGCAGCTCGGAGCGCCCCCCACCCAAGCCATTTTCCCGAAATGGCTATCCACACGGATAGCCCACCGGCGGCGGTGGCGGGGCTCAAGCCACAAGGGTCCGACCCGGTGGGGGCGGCCGCGCAACCCTGAGGGTCCCTCCTCCTCCTCCTCGTCCTCCTCCTTGTCCTAGTCCTCCTCCTACTCCTCCTTCCCCTCCTTCTCCTGGTCTAGGGCTCCGAGGAGGCGGGAAGTCGCGGGTCCCATGGAGGGAGCCCGGGCGCAGGCCTGAGCTAGGCTGCGGAGGAAAGGGGGCATCGCTCGGACCCAAGGCAGCCCGTGAGCCTAGATCGGGCCTGCTGGGCCGACTGCTACACCTGGAAACTGCCGCTCCTACCTTGGACACTTCCTAGCTTGGCGATTCCTGCCGAGGCGGCCCCTCCCTAAACCTCAGTTCCCTCCTCCGCCCAGTCCGGAGGACGCTACCTGTACCGCCCCCGCCCCTCTCGGGCGTGTTATGAGGAAATGGGAGCTAGCCTCCCAGGGAGGCTGCCCGGTGCTGGAGGAGGCCGGCGGGCTGGACTGGGCTCATTCAGCCCCTGCCTTTGCTACTGCACACCTAGGAGACGGAGCCCTGGGCGGGAGGGACTTCACCTGGCTGAGCTTCACTCCTCTTACCTGGAAAAGGAAGGGATTTCACTAGTGGCTCTAGGTCTGAGTCTCTGAATCAGGGTTCGTTCTGCTAGGTGTGGGGAGAGGGGGGAGGGCTCAGGCTGCAACGTCACTCTGCTCCGATCCCCGGGAATGTCGCCTATTACTAGAGCACAGAGCATCATGGGCCCTCCTATTCATTAACTCCGGGGGCTTTGGGGACAAGCCAGCGAGGCTGCTCACACAATCATTATTTGCCCCACTTTACAGAAGAGGAAACTGAGACCTGAGAGAGGGAGAGGCTTACCCAGGGCCACCCAGCTAGTGTCAAAGTCTAGATTTGAACTCAAGCCTTATCTGTCTTCAAATCCAAGATGATTCTGACTCCCATCTCACCCTCCCTCCCTGCCTGAAGAGCACTGCCAGTCGGATAAACTGGCCATGCGTGCCCTGGGGTGCCGCTCCCCAACAGCGGTCCTCTCAGTCAAGCTTACACCGGAAGGCCACAGCTGAATCCTCAAAGTCTGTGTCCTGAGTGAGGTGGGAGGACCAAGATTGGCCCCATCATTAGAAGGGAAATCCCAGGCCTCCGCCCACCCCTTCCATGCCAGGCTTACACATACGTGAGCTCCAGAGGGGAGCGATGCTTGGAAAGGTGGAAGGATCTCGGGCTTGGGCCTGAGACAACCCCATCTGCCCAGGATGAAGGGAGATCCCAGGAAAGAGATTTGGGAAGGTCTTGTTCTCCCCCCGAAGCCCCGGGGGATGGTCTGCTTTTCCTCCTTCCTGGTGAAACAAAATTTGGGACACTGCCGAGGCCAGTAGCATTACACTCACTCTCTCTCTCTCTCTCCCTCTCCCTCTCCTGTAACCTGGGAAATCTGGACCCTGGGACCTAGCAGAGACTAGAAGCAGGGCCTCCTGCCTCGTGGCGGAGAGGTGGGGGACTATCGGAGCTGAATGTGACGTGTGTTGTCAGATGCGGCCAATGGCTGGCTTTGGTGGGATGAAGTGGACTTTTTTACAATGGAGGAGCAGGCGGGGGTAGTTACTGGAAAGTGGCAGCGATGTAATGAGCCAAAAAAAAAAAAAAACACCCTATCAAGCGAGCAGGAAAGGCCGCAGGGCTCTCACTGTCCTAGCCATGGCGGGATCTGCTCCCCTGCTCTTATCCAGGCGCCTCTGGGCCGTCCCACCCCCTGGGATGCTCGACTCCGCGCCCTCCCTGGCCCCTTTCCTTCCGCTCTCACCCGTGTGGAGGGAGAATCTGGCCAGCAAGTCCCCCCAAAAGCACCCTGGGCAAGCTTCGGCCCTCCTTCCGACTGTCCATCCTTCCGCCGTCGGTCTGCCCTGCCCTGGGCTGGGCCGGGCTGCGAACAGGGAGGGTCTTGGCCCAATAAGGGGCTGGGCTCTCTATCCTACCACAGGAGCCAAAGGGGGCCAGCACGAGGGTTAAATTAAGCCGGCTCTAATGAACAACAGCTGAGAGGTATGCAGGCACCCCATGTGTCAGGACCGCTCCCCCTCCCCTCGCCGCTCCCCTCCCCCCTTCTCCGGTAGCCCAGCTGACGAGCTGCCCGGGTGGGGCCCTGGCTAAGGGCTGCAGGGAGGGGAGAAGGCGAAGCCTCCTCTGGAGGACTCCACCCTCCCTCCTTCCAAGCTGAACAAACAAAATCTGTGAAACTCCAGCCCAGAGGAGGAAGGCTCTGGGGGCTGGTGGGATGATGGGCTGGGGCAGGGTACTGAGGTGGGGAGGGGCTGGTGGGATGATGGGCTGAGGCAGGGTCCTGGGGGTGGGGACGGGGATGGGGGGTTGTGAGCATGGCCAGAAGCAAGCTCGCACCCTGAAGTCACTGCTATTTGTGGGAGCACCAAAAATATGACTGGAAGCGGCCCCCAGGCCTCCGACCTGCACAGATTTCCCTTGGGGGCCGGCCCAGGTAGGGCATAGCCCCCGAGAGGCACCTTTTGCCCCTGAGCCTGAAGCTGGCCGGGTGTTAGGGCACCATGCCAGCCAGTGGGCAGTGTTCAGCTTCCCACTGCACGAGAAAGAAGGGCCCCTAGGCAGGGAGGCGCAAGATGGAAGCCGGGGCCTTAGAGGAGGGACGAGGGCTCTTATTAGCCGCAGACTTGAAGAGTTTGTTGCGTGGCCCTTTCTCCGTGCCCCGAGAGCTGAGACCTGGCTGCCAGGTGGGGAGGAGGGCGGGTCAGGGGCCCTGTTCCTTCTGGCCAGGAGCCATCCCAAGCAAGCTCCAGCCTGCCAGCCTGGCCCACTCCCACCAGGGGGGATGAGCTGCTTCAGGCTAGGCTGAGACAGGCTTGGAGGAAGGGGTGGGAAAGGAGCCGAAGCCCCGGCTCCCAGAGGCACTGGCAGCTGAGCCCGCAAAAGCCTTGCTTTGGGGGTTGGTAAAGATAACTTTGCAGGGCATTTCCAAACGAGACAGGAACTCCCTGACTGGCAGCTCGAAGGAGGGCAGCAGGAGGGAGGGGCAGGGTGTGGCGGGGGGGGGGGGGGGGGGGACTGGGCTTATCACGCGGCAGAACCCAGACCCAGCCTGCCTCCTTTCCCCGAGGGAGGGGCGTTGCCAGCTCCTCGGGCAGCAGAATGTGCCCTTCACTCTTCCCCCCTCTCCTGCCCTGGGGCGGGGGTGGGGGGCCTTCCTCTAGCATGACCACTCACACCCCCAGCTTCCCAGGAGAGGCCAGAGCCAAGATGCCCCTTTACTGAATTCCTAAAGCCACAGGATGAATGAGTCGCTGGCAGGCCACTCAGAGGTCCCCTCCAACATTTAACGGAGGAGAAAACTCAGGCTCTGGGAAGAGGGGGGAGGGACTGCCACAGGGAAGGCAGGAGAATGGGCATGTCTGGAGCACCTGCCAGGGGCCCTGTGCTGGGCCAAGCACTTTTTACCAACAGGATTTCACTGGCTCCTCACAATGCCCTGGGAGGTAGATCCTGTGATCTCTCCTGGACGGGTTGGATTGGAACTCAGGTCTTCCGGCCCACCTCCAGACCCAGCCCTCTGCCCACTGGGCCAGTGAGTTGCCTAGCCAGCAGATCCAAGGCTCTGGTCACTGGGATGGGAGAAGGAGGAAGGAGCCAGGCGCTGCTCTGGTGGTCAGCAAGCTTCCATCAGAGGGGCCTATTCCAGGGGGACAGTTCTTGACTTCCAGCTTGGCCCTGTGTTCAAATTCTGCCTCAGACACTTGCTAGTTATGTGCCTCAGTTTCCTCCCCGGTAAAATTGAAATTAATCAAGGAAGATCAAATCATTGTAAAGTGCTCCTACCTCACCCAACACATACATACACACACACATATCCAAACCATACTGCACTCAGAAACACCACACACACACACACACACACACCATTCACAGATACACAACCCATACAGCCATATATATACCACCCACACACAATCCTAGTCACAAATATCACACACATTTACATAGTATCATCCCACACATACCACACACGTATTTGTACATCATACCACTCACAGACCACATGCATATACTCACTTCAAATTCCACACACATACATCCACACCCACCATATTACACTCACAAATACCACACACATACACCCTGACAACCACAAACACGCCACACATACATATATGCCAGCATGCACACACCACACCACTCACAGAAATATAACCCACATACCACCAACACAACAAAATACATACACATACATACCACGCGCACACACACACATACATCCCACCACAAATATACCACATATACATACAAAGCATACCACACAAACATATACTTCACATATAAATACATATGCCATGCTATATACATATATACTTCCTATGTGTATGCACCGCGCATGAATAATCCACACATATGCATTGCTCGCACCTACATGTACATACCACAATCCTCCACATACCACACGCCATACATATACCTCACACATACACACACATACAATTCCACAACCACCCCACACACATACATACATACCATATACACATCTGCACTATGAACACATCCACACCATGCATATATCACACATACTGCATACTACATGTATATTCTCAACACGTACATACCACATACATATACATCCCACATATCTACCCACCACATGTATATACACATCTCAGAAATAACACACACAACATACTTAAATACCAAGCACACAGACCACCCCCACATGCTTACCACACACAACTCATATACACACTTAGCTCCTTCCTCTCCTCCACACCCACTGACCCTTCCTTCCTTCCTTCCTTCCTTCCTTCCTTCCCTCCCAGCCTCTCTCCCTCTTTTCTGTCCCTCCCTCCATCTCTTCCTTCCCTCCTTTTCTCCCTCCTAGCTGCCCACCCTCCTTCCATCTCTTCCTTCCTTCCCTCCTTCCCTCTGTCTTTTCCTCCCTCCTCACATGCTGTTGCTGCTTCAGTCATGGTCCCCAAGTGGTCACCCAGCCTTGCACCTAGAAGAACTCCCAGGGTGTCGTTCACCCCCATTGCTCCTGCCCTCCAACATGCTTGCTACCTGAGTCCCAGCCTCCCTCCCCTAAAAGAGTCTCAGAGCCAGAAGGGACCTGAGAGCCAAGCCCCTCGAGGGAGAGATGAAGAAGCTAAGGCAGGCCAGAGTTGGTAAAGGGACCCACAGGGCTGGAGACCTAAATGGGGTGTGCACTTGCCATTCTGGTGCAAATCACCTCGCTGGAAACAATGCTCCTCCCTCAGGGTGACCCCATGTCCAGGCCTTTTGTGCTGTCACTGACAGTCAGAAAGCCCATGCCGGACTAGGCTGGCCACCCAGTGTGGGTGGGAATGGGGAGCCTGTCACATTTCTGATGGAATGCCTGGGGCTCACTTCTCCCCCATCCTAAGAAGGCCCAGCTTCCACCAGGAGGATCACAAGGACACTGAGCTATAGGCACTGAGCATTCTACTCTAGGCAATGGCTCAGCTTCTTGGTGGGGTCTGGAAGAATGTTCAATCAGGCGTTCAGTAGCAGCTGGAATGTAGATGATACACATGAACCCTGGGAGGGAGGGACTATAGGTATTATCATCCTCATCTTAAAAATGGGTAAACTGAGGCTCAGAGAGGGGAATTGACTTGCCCAAGGTCACACAGCTGGAAAGGGATAGAGGAGGAATCCCAGCCACATCTTCCTGTTTCCAGAGCTAGCACTGCCTCATCTCTCCCACCACGTTCCTGAGTGTGTCACAATTGCTCCAACTAGACCAGACTGTCCAGGGAAGCAAGAAAAGATCATCAATGAGCGACTCCCAACCTATAGGAATGGTGGCATGTGCTTCAGGGGACCAATAGTTGTCTGGTCCAACATGCCCATTTTACAGAAGAGGAGACGGAGGCCCAGAGAGGCTAATACTCATGAACAGAGAAGGGAAGGGATTCTGAGAGGTCATTTAGCCAAGGGCCCAGCACTGAGTGTGGAGCTGACACATAGTCGGGACTGAATGAACTTTGGTGGGACTGACTAGTGGTGAAGGGCAAGGGAGGCTCAGATAACACAAGTGACTTGCCTATGGTCATACAGTGGTGAAGGGAGGGAGTCACTCTCATCTCTCCTAAAACCCCTCACGCGCCTGAGGCTTCCTCCCTTCTGCCCAACTCTACTGCCATAAAACACAGGTCTGGCCCCTCAGTTTCCTCATCTGTCAAATGAGCTGGGGAAGGAAATGGCCAACCACTCCAGTATCTCTTCCAAGAAAGCCCCAAATGGGGTCACGACTGAAACAATGACCAAACAACAGCAAAACTAGTCTTCCAAAGGCCTATCTGTGGAGGGAGGAGAGCACTGCTTGGGGAAGGGACTGAAGTAGGTAAGAGCTAGCAAACGGAGGAGCAGTGCAATGTTGGACTTACTGGAAGCAGTGAGGTCCCCACCTAGCTTTTGGATGGAAGCGGCCTGACTTTCCATGGGCCCTTGGCCTACTTCCGCAGAAGCCTGAGGGAAAGGAACCTAGCACTGCCTCCATCCAGGCCTCGGGCTCCCTTTCCCTCCCTTTAGGAAGGAGCTGAAGCACTGGTTCCCATACCATCGTCTAGACTGGCCCACTGAGGCCTTGAGACAAACTTCCCCAGACTAACAACCAAAAAAAAACATGTAAGGCACAGGGACAAAGTCTAGCCTTCTGCCCCAGCCTCCCATGGGTGAATTACCATCTCTGACTCTGCCTTCAAGGACACAGCTAGAGGCCTGAAACTGGAGTCAGATACACTTCACAGCTGTGAGCTTCGAACCCCTCCCCACCCCATTGCCCAGTGGGAAAAGGGAGAAGACCAGGCCCATCACACCCAGAGGGGCCAGACAGAAACGGAGGAGGAGGAGGAGGAGGAGGAGGAGGAGGAGGAGGAGGAGGAGGCGGCGGCGGCAAGCTATCGGGTCCTATCGTGACAATGTCGTCACTGCTAGAGAAAGCATTCCATGGTCATTTCCTGTACAATGGCTTCTTTATAACACAGCATATGCTCTCAAGGCGTGGGAGGCACAAAAGACAGCCCTGCTTTGAGACCAGAATGATCTTAGGTATTTAGGTGAGCAGGAGAAGGACATCACACAGACATTGTATTGGCAGGGGCCCGGCGCCCCCAGCCAGGCTGGGATGGGCTTGGAGGGGAGGGGCCAGGCTGGGCATTGAGGGGCCCCTCAATGGGGATGGTTTGTCAGGACCCAGAGCCAGCCTCCCCCCTAGCACCCCCTGGAAGCAGTGGGGGAGTGAAGGAGAGGGGCTGTCTGCAGGGACCCCATAGGTGGCACGTCCCTCCCATCCCCTACACACACACACACCCTGTGGAGGTGTGCCTTAGGGCACTGGAGCATCTCTGCTTGAATGAGAGGGCCCTGGTGTGGAGTGCTAACATTCAATTAGCCCCCTCCCCTTTACCCCTTTGGCACAGGGAAGGAGGGACTGGTTGGTGGGAGCCCCTTGTCGGGGCTGAGGCCTTTCGGATATGGAGGCGAGAGCTGGGCGGCCCCTTCTCCAGGACAGGGAGCGCTAACCACCTTCCCTGCTATCTCTCAGACGCCTGTGATTGG